CAGCCCCGGTAACACCGCTCACACCGATGGGTCAGCTCCTGCTGGCGGCCCTCGGGCAGAGCGGACCTGAGCCGCATGCAGGGCAGAACACCACGTAGCATCGTCCCTCCCTCTGCCCCATGCAGGGCAGAACACCAGGTAGCATCGTTCCCCCCCCCCTCTGCCCCACGTGCCCCAGCGTCTCCCTGCGATCATCACCAAAAACAAGGTCTGTGCTGCAGCAGTGTCTTCCTAAAGCAGCTTGTTCTGCTTGCTTCGGGCCCAGCCCACCGTGGGTGTCACCCGAGAGCCACCAAGGGAGCGCAGTTTTGCTGTATGTCCAGTCTTTTTTTGACTCATAAAGGCAAAGGGACTGGACCCCGTCCCCCTGGCAGCGCGGCGCTCTCACTCACGCAGGCCAGCAGAGCAGCTCCAGCACCCCAAGCTGCACGTAAAGGTAGCAGGTGTCCCACACTTACTTACACTGGGGTCAGCGAGCAGGGTCCCACTGCGCAGATAAACCGAGCTCACCCTAGAAACGTCACTGCTGTCCCACGGCATCCACGCTCGGGCAAAACCCCTGTCCCAGCTTGGCGGCCCCTTCTCTCTGCAGGCAGCCACGTCCTTTCTGCAGCCGGGGGAGCTGCGACCGCTCTGGTCTTCTCCGGCGTCACGCAGGAGGCTGGACCGCAGCTGACACCGCGTGCTTGAAGCCAGCGTCCACGTGCGGGCAAAGGCAACCTGCCCAGGACAGCTAAACCCAGCCGTAGCCACCGCATCTTCAAACTGCCAAATAGAAAAGAAAAAAAGTTTCTACCTCACTCCAGGCAGGGTCTAAGGTGAGCCTCCGTTACTCATCCAGCTGGCGAGGATGCAGCCTGGCACTGGATGACTTTGGTCCACCAAAACTCCTCCTGGGTGACTCACTGCCGTGGACAGGTGGCCTCCGTCCCGTCATTTCCAGTAATGCCGCATTTGTCAGAAATCGGAACATCAGAATTGTGTATGTGTACATAGATATCTATTTTAAAACAAATAATAGACTTTATCCAGTATGTTAAAAGGGGGGGGGGTAGGGAGGGAAGGGAAAGGGGAAGAACAGAGTGTTTTTTAAAGAGAACTACAGAAAAGTACATACACTGTGGAGGTTTCAATGTCTTTGCTGAGGATGTGGCTTCAGAATAGAAACTCTAAGAATGTAGCTGGGCTACATTTTATTTTGAAAGTGATTTCACAAAAAGTTCTTGAATTTTTTTTTTTTTTTTTTTTTTCTTTTAGAAACTGTGAATAGCTGCCAGAGATATAGGCAGGCCCAGCACAGGGAAGGCGAGGGTGAGAAGGACTAAGGTAGCAGAGAACGTTGAGCTTGGCTGGAGGTGGGGAAAGGGCCATGGAGCAATAGCCCCATGTTGTTACAAGGAGAGGACACAGGTGAGCCAGTAGTGAGTACAGTTTGCCTCCAGGTGATGTGACTGGGCCATGTATTGGGGCCTATTGCTTTATTATTTAATTTTTTCCAAAGCAAAAAAAAAAAAAAAGTAGTTGCTGCAACCATTTTAAAGGAACAACTTTAACAGAGCAGAAGCTTGAGGGTTTGTAGTGTTGCCTTGAACCCCCGAGCCCTTTGTAACATGTTTTTAAACTTTGGCACGTGTCGTGGGTGTAGTGCCCTTACCTGCTGTGTAGTGGAAGTGGCAGACTCTTGGAAAAGCCTATCTTTGTAATAAAACAAGGTGCTGAAACCTGCGTAGCGACATTCCTGCCCCTTTGCACACAGGCGACGCGCAACATGGTGCAGGGAAGACCCCGGTGGGTGCGCACGGGGAGCTTTGCCTGTACGCGTTTCCACCCCTCTGGGCTGCAGAGCCCCGGGTTCCTGCAGAGCAGCTGCGGCCGCGCTCGCTCCTGCGCCCGGTGATACGGCTCCCACCAGAGCTGGCGCTGGCACAGGAGGGGAAGACCTGCGGGAGGACACAGCCAGGCACCCGAACTGGCCGCACGCTGTGCCCTCAGCCCACCAGGGGAGGTCTTCTCGCAGCCCCGGGGAGCCCAGCGCCGGCTCAACACCACCACTGCCCCTGGCCCTCGAGGCTTCTGGCTGCAGTGCCGCGACGCCAGGCACAGCCCATGGGTCTTAACAGCCGTGGCATTGCTAAATCCTCCCTTCTACCTCCCCCAGGAAAAGCTGCTCTTTCCACACACCAGAGGGATTTTCTTCTCCCACTAGAAAGTTGATTCTTAGCAAAGCTAAATCCAGCCGCTAAATGATTTGGCCTCTCTCAAAACGAAGAGCCTGGTGTTTCACACAGAGTGCCTGGTGAGAGATGACACAGCTCCCGCCGGGTTCTGTTACGGGACGTTTCCACGCGAGTGAGCAGTGCGTTGTGAGGCTAACCATCACCTAAGGGTCTGGGAAGCTCTCCTCGGTTATTTCTGCGGCATCCCCCACCCTGTCACTGGGGGGACACGAGTTTCAGCTCCATTAAAGATGGATCAACATGGTCAAGGCTGAAGTTTAAAGAGAAGTTGGTTTGCTCAGCTCTTGCTTAAGCCCCAAAGCAAGGCCAGGAGCCTTGGAGGGCATTGGCAAGGCCAGCCGAAGATTAGCAAAATCCTCTTTAGGAAGAGAGTTTTACTTCCACTTATTTTCTCCTGCCCAGGAGGACTGTAACCCTTTGCGTTATCAGGCTGACCTTCAGAAGGGCTCTGTTCTGTGCAGAGCAAGAGAAATTCAGGCATTTGAAGCTATTAAATGAAAGAGTTCATACGCTGACCCACGGGAGATAGCAAGACAGGTTTAGAGGTGGGAACAGTGCTACAGATAGATAAAAAGAGCACAAGCAACACTGCAGTCTACAGCAAACCGCCTAAACTCCTTTTTTGAGCCCCAAAACACTTCAGTCTTCCTCTTACCGTGGTTAGAGCACAGGCAGCTTCCCCCGGCGCTGGGGACCCTTGCCCACAGCATGCACCTGGACCTGCTGCCCTGGCACTCCTGTAATCCCAGCTCAGCCAGGCATTAGCACAAGGGCAGCCAGGAGGGCAGAGGGCCGGACACCCACCCTGCACCGAGGCTGCGGATGCCACGGCCCCGCACCG